ACCCGATCTCTGTGCTCACATTGTGATCCACGTCAGGTGACACTAGCAGCATTTTTCGATACTCCTATCCGGAGATGATGCAGCTTTGAGCACCGGCCAAGCTGGATTTGGTACAGCCCTGAGTCCCCGGGCTGAAGCTGCTCTGGTTGATTGGATTCCAATCAGTTGCCGGACGTGTGCGGTCCGATCATCTGGCTCGTTCATCGCTTTAATTCGCGCGGGATTAGCACACGTCTATTCGTCATCGCTGCCTATGCACCGACAAACTGTAGTGATGATGCGGTAGCATACGGCTTCTACTGCCAACTGAACGAGCTCCTTCGCCACAGAAGAAGCTTGGACACTGTAGTGCTGGCTGGGGATCTGAACGCACATGTTGGAAACTTTTCCACGCATGATCTGTATCTGGGTGGTCAACATGGTGTAGGCTCCCGTAATGATAACGGTGAGCGGTTACCTCATTTTTGTGAAGATGCTCGCTTATTTATGCGAGCACTAATTTCCGACACAGCACCCGCCGGAGGGTGACTTGGCGTCCACCAGCGTCAAACCAGCTATGGACGCAAACGACTACATCGCGATGGGTTAGCGCTGGAGTGGCTGCGTTCAGAACTGTCGTTCGATTTGGAGCACAGTTGTGGACACCGACCATGCACTTGTATGTGCGGACCTGCGGATGCGTTTTGGCGGATGCCCAAGACGACGCTGTGAGCGCATTGATACCAGCCAACTGTCAAAACCGACTGTTCTGAATGCCTATCAAAGTACGCTGACATGCAAGTTGAGTAAGCACTCACTGGATGCAATTGAAGCTCACTAGTCTCATGTTCACTAGACTTTACTAGCAGCAGGAAAATTCTCATGTGGTAAGTCTAATCGCCAACATGAACACTGGGTCTCTTCGGAGCCTCAGGAACTTATCAATGCTAGCCGGCACATTCCGGGTGGAAGCGAACACCATGAGACTTGCAGAAAACTTCGCGAAAAACGTCGTGCTAGTCTGAAGAGAGACCGCGAATCCTGGTGATCTTTTCGTGCATCAGGGATGGAAATAGCCGCTGACCTTGGTAGTCATCGTAAGTTACTCAGGGTGATATGGAAAACGAGCACAAGGAGATCTGGTGTTAACGAAATTATACGTGGTGATAGTGGACAGCCAATCCACAACTTGTCAAAGCGCTCGGAGCGTTGGGCTGAACACTTTGAAAGGCAATTTAATCGGTCGGAATTGTTAGATTTCTTGCCGGCCATTGATCGCCCTGCTCCTTGTTCTGTCCCCTTGGACTCATCATCTCGATTAGAAGTCGAACGTGAGATCGGACTGTTGAAATTAACTAAAGGCGCGGGACCAGATGATCCTTATCTATCCCTCTTCAAACTCAAGAAACCTACTCTTATGAATGAATTACGCGTTTTACAAGTGAAACTGGGGGACCAGGTAATTGTCCCTACCGACTGGACTGGCTCCGTCATAGTCCCAATTTTCAAGGGAGACTCAATATCGGAATGCAGCAACCATAGATGAATCAGTCTGATCCCCATCGCCTCCAAATTACTTGCCTCTGTCATCGTTCACAGATTGACTGACACTCGTGAAGGCCATATTCGTGAAGAGTAAGACGGGTTTCGTCGAAGTCGAGGCTGCATTAACCACAACTTCACTGTGCGTCAATTGTTGGAGCACCGTCACATATATTGGCAGCCCACCGTTGTCGTGTTCCTCGACATCAAAAGTGCATTCGATTCGGTGAATAGATGTGCCCTAGGGGACTGTCTAGTCAGGAAAGGTTTGCTCGAGAAATATCTAAATATTATCCGAGCATTATACGCGCGTAGCTCTGGCAGAGTGAGAACTTACGGCAAGCTGTCATCACCCTTTACCATCTCAAGCGGTGTGAGACAAGGATGCCCGATGTCACCTTTCCTTTAAAACTTCGCTACCGACGAAGTTAATGAAATCGTGTTCACAGGACACGATTTAGATGATGTGGATCTCCTCCCAGGAGAACGACATTTTGACATGAATTATGCAGTCGATATTGCCCTTATCTGTGATAGCTCACAAACGTATCAAGCGTCTTTGGACAAATTAGCACTGCCTATCCGTCACTTCGGGCTTTGATTCGCACCTTCAAATTGCAAAGCGTTCCTTCAATATTGGCCTCAACTGCCTGCTGTTCTGACCCTTGGTAGGGATAAGCTAGAAGGCGTTCAGAAATCCAATTACCTGGGAAGTTGTATCAGTGCCCGTGGTATCGAAGATGAGATTACGAACCGTGTAGCAAAGTTCGGGGCGCTTTGCCACTTAGGTCGCCGGCGCGACATAACTCTCTCCCTGAAGGGTAGAGTGTACAATGCAGCGGTACGTTCGACCCTACTGTACGGTTGTGAAACCTAGCCCCTTAGATCAGCGGACATAAAGAGGCTAGTTACCTTCGGCCACCGGTGCCTTCGCAATTTGGCTCACATCTGTTGGGAACACCGAGTGAGCAACGAGCGTGTTCGACGCCTTGTTTACGGGACACAGATGTTGTATCGCCAGTGACGCCTTCACCCCACGACAGCAAGGATAAATCTAAAGACGAGCCAGAACTTGTATACATGAATTCACAATTGCTTATATAGTTTTGAAGGCAAAAGAAGGAATGTTACTAAATTACACTTGAGCCAATCAACAGAAGGAAAAACGTCAAATGCAACGGGTGAATAAGCAACCATGTACTCAACAGCGAATCGAATATGTCCTTAAAAATAGCATCATAAGACTCCAAGCGTAAAGCGAACATCCATTTACGGTGACAAGCACTGGCCAATAAGAATAACGAAGTGTAGCGTTTAAACAAATGTCACGAAACAAACGAGAATAAGAAGTGTAGACCAAAAAATTAAAAACTAGTACAATAATTGTTTGACAACTAACTATTCTTTTAACATAACCAAGTGGAAAAGTGATGCGAAAAACCCATGGAATGTGTTCTTGCAAGTGGTCCTGCTGAGGAGGACACGGCGATGAGCGTCCATTAAAAACGACTTGTGTGTACCAATCGGAGTAACACAGTGGGGCGTTTAAACAACAGTCAAGAAGTAGAAAATAGGAAGAATAAGGAATGGCTATTAAGCTCCTTCACAACAAATGAATGTGTATTAGCTCTTCGCCTAATAACACGTAAAGGAAATGAACCGCTCAGCACCGTTATTTCACGCACCAGACTTCGATGGCTAGGCTAAGTTCTACGCATGCTAGCCCACCGACTCCCGCGAAGTGTGTAATTTGCGCACCGAATGTGTGGTTGGAACTAGAGGAGTGTTGGCCAACCGATGACTTAGTCGAAACAAATGGAGGCCCTCACTTCGAAGCTGGCCTTGACTGGAGCTTCTCGGCTCTCTGGTTGGGATCCAAAAGACGATGGACACTTTTGGGTGGATACTTGTTGACATGGCTAGGAGCGGAACTCAATCGAGTTCCTGTTGTGAGTTTCTTTGTCCCACCTCATCATTCTTAGCCTCCCCTCCAATCACGATCTTACTACGTAGCCTAATACCATTTTGCATAATAAATTTTTTCCTGCGTAGTAGCCGGCTGGTAACTTACGGAAACGATTCCCATCCGTTACCGGTAGCTCAAATGGGTTGCAGCTGTTGCATTTTCCCCCTCTTGTATCGTGGCAATATTAACTGAGGTGCCTCTTACTTCTAGCTAACGTGAAAAAACCGCGGGAATCTTTTCACAGTTAATTGCGATTGCGTACATTAAGGTAAGCACAATGATTTAGTATTATTGCAGAGAAATGATTAATAAAACTGCCATGGGGAATTCGGAAGACATTTTGCAGCATTTTAATAACATTTCCGTCTCTGTTATGCTTCATGTGTAGGAGTTAGGGCACCTGTGTGTTAGAACAGGAAGAAAATAAAAGTTGCATAACGAGAGCATTAAAACGAACGTCGGTCAAACCTAACTGCCACACTTTTCGTGATAAACTACTCATACTTCTAACTCATACTTCATATGTTTGCATATGGGTAGCAATTTCCTTTCCTACAGCTCAACCACCTTGCGTTATCAGGAGCGCTACCAGCAGCTTAAACTCGAACCCCTTCGGTTGCGACGACTGAAACATAACCTGATGCTGATACACAATCTCATCAACCAGATGACATACTCCAGCCTGTATAAACACTTAAAATTTAACAGAGGTTCATTCGGAATGTACGCAACAAGACCTGTACATTATGTGTGCCGAGGACCAGGACAGCTATCCGATCAAACGTCGTCCTCGTCAGATACGCTGTCGTGTGGAGTAGCCTACCAGCCACAATCAGGTCTTGCACAAATGCAAGAACATTCCACATTCAGCTTAGTAAATTCCTGGACCAGAACTCGATAATGACCATGTTTCCATCGGGTAAATCAGCACACGAGTTCTTCCAGGATGGATCAGGGAATAGGTAATCAATGACCAAAGATGGTACAAAAATCTCATCCACAACAAAAGTTATGTGATTTCAAGTTATTTTGATATCATTCAACCCATAATACATATCTCACTCATGCATGAGCATGATAAATATTGTACCCATGATCTGTCCAGAATCCAAGGACTGCATCTCGTACAATCGGGAAATATACGTATTATTTTTATTTTTATTAGTAGTATTTTATCACCTATGGAACGCAGATCGAGTGGAGATGCCTGTAATGAACATTTAACACAGTTATTCGCGGTTTACAGAATTCTGTCATGTGTATAACTAGATACTGTGGATATTCCACCGTAAACATGCGTATTCAAAGTTGACGAGGATACAATACCGTTTACATTTGCGGGTTATCCGTTTTACTGAGATTATCTTACTCGAATACCCATAAGGAAGTCACCATAGTTCAGCCCACCGCCTGTCAGTCTGGTTGACATCATGCTGCACAGGAAATCACAAGTGCTTTCCTGTTGATATATTTGAGCAACTCATGGTTCCGATAAATCCTTTCCACGCTACAGATGTGTCTGGATAGAGGAGCAGATATACTCGGATCTGATAAGTCGGGCCATTCTGCTCTACATTTTGCTTGCGCTCGAGGAGATTTAGAATGTGCCAAACTTCTCTTCGAGTATGGACAGCGTGTTGCGCTACGTATGATTTTTGCTGTGGATCAAGACGGACGTACCCCAATGCATATGGCGGCTATGCACAATCATCCAGATTTGATTGATTTTCTACTAGAAAAGGTAGGTTTCTTGTGGATTCTGTTCTGCTAATCATATACAAATTGTGACCCATTGTGTTCGGTATGAGATAGAAGGGTATTCAGTAGAATGAATTGATCTACTGGAGTAAATCGCCTTCCGACCACAGAAGACGTGGGTAATTGTCTGGGTGATCGCTGGGCAAGTACGCGGAGTTCTGCACTTGTAGTTCGCCAGAAGATCAAGTAAGATGGTGGAAATGAGTACACTGGGGGAATAATTAACCGTGAACAACACCCATGGCCTAACAAGTGATGAACACTCACAGACCATGACCAAAGGATAAAAGAAGAAACATGGAATCGGTTTGTAACAAATGTCGTAATGAACAGCACAACATGCAATCTCCGTGAAGAGGGTCTTTTTGTCGATCGTTTGCATTTATGTTCAAAATGAAAAATGATTTATCACAGATTAACAAGCAAGTGTTTGCCAGAACCCCTAGAACGGTTGGGTACATGGGATGAAATCAAAAGTTGCGTGAGTCATCAACCGAGTTAAATGCATTACTAAATAACGTTAGTGTTAACTACAAATTGAGTGCAAACATTCAGAAGAACACGCGGTGCATCCGTCGTCGGCGGAAAGTGCGAGAAAAATAACATATGGTCACTCACTCATGTGCAGCCTCCTTGGGTCCCTATGACATGTAAATCTGATAGAATAGTATGATTAATGTAATCCACAACAATACACTTTATGCAAGTGAAAATAGCAAAAGTAGGGGGATAACAATGAGTTTGTGAGAGCGTTTCAGGGCTGGCAAACCTGAAGGGAAAATTAATTCCTTCGACACTGGACGGCTGTATTATTCACTCAAACGCAGACAATTGTGTTGTTACGTTTCAGCAAATGGTAGCATATGTGGCTGGGGTCACTCTATATTCGGTACACTAATTTGAGGTCACAGCGCAGCCCTGGTTAGCATCTGCTGAAATCTCCCAGCAACTTCAGGCTTCTTTGATTGCATAGACCCGTGACATTCATTTTGCCCTGCGTTATGGTGCCTATAGTACCTCTAAGTCACGCTTCAACCAAGGTTGTCAAGCTAAGATGGATCATACAACATGTGGGCCCGCGTAGGAATAGTGCATCATTGGGAAGATTGATGAGTCAATTCTCCCGAATGCTCCTCGCTCCAGGCCAGCGTGTTGATTGCATCATTTAGCAGCTGCCTGAGACAGTTTGGAACAGTTGAGACCACTCTGTACGAGCACATCGAGGCCAAGTTCTTAGGGGACGGGCTGTTATCTGTGTGCTCCAAGTAAATACTTTTAGTCATGTCTACATTCATTGATGGGGTATTTCGAACTGACCACTGCAAAGGCGTGTTACCATCGCATAAGAGCCATTCGTGGACGACCGGTTCTCTGATCTCTCGCCATATCTTAATATTGTATGTGAAGAATAAAAATCGGAGTCGTGATCCCGATATATCGTTTATGAAAATTAAGAATAGACGAAACCCTAGCACCAAGTCTTGTGGTACACCACACTCCACATCGGTTGCACCGGACAGAGATTCTTGTACTCTGACCTCCAACCGACGTTCGTATCGAAAATTGTTCATATAACGCAAGCTTGGGTCGCTAATTTCGTAGTTCAAAAGCTTGTGGAGGAGAATTCGAAGGTCTAAGTCAGGAGTTACCAAACTATTTACACGACGGGCCGGATGACCAAAAATCAACTTACCCGAGCCAGATAACCAACCAAATGGTTAGCGTGGGCCGCATAATCATTCTGCACAACAGTTGCGGGCCAGAAAATATACAAAGAAAGCTTGACACTCTGTGTAAGCCTTTCTGTTCTTAGTAGCATTGGCGCAGACTAATCAAGCAAAAGATACTGAATTACAAACATTATAAAAATTCTATTGAAACACCAGAAGAACAGAGGAACTATGGTCATTGGTGGGACCACAACCCACCGGGGATACACGTAAAATTCATTTATACATTCGCTAATGGATTATCACATGAACCTTTTCAATATATATATATATATATATATATATATATATATATATATATATATATATATATATATATATATATATAAAAGAGAGGCGCCGTGAAGGGTTGAACCAAGCGTTTCCATGCGAAGCACCTTAAACTGTGGTTGGAAGGAATACCGGGGTTTTTACAGACATTTAGCACCACAAAAATGTACCAACCTCAAGAATATGCGGTTCTAGTTCAATTCCTTACTAACAAGCTGCATGTCTTCCTAAATACCCAGACAATATGACTTCAAAATTGTACATGCACAAGCTAATGGCGTCTTCAAAAATAGTGTTTGCTATAACACGCGCATCAAGGGATTTGACCAACAGAAAATCGCAGCACAAAGTTGTGATTTAAGCAGAAACACGATAATATGCACTGATGAATGAGTTTCATGCGTGCTCGCACACAACAATCTTCCAAAGATATGGTACGGCAGTATGGTGTCCCATGTAACATCCGTGAGCTGTCTCACGCTAATTTTCAAAAGGCATAAGATCACGGACGATGCTACATACATTGTCGAATGTAAATTGTATTACAGCGTCTCGTGTTCCATATGGCTTAGCAAGCAAAATCGGGTACAGTCGGCGGGCCATAGTTTGTTGACCCCTGGTCTAAGCGATCAAATGTTTTTGTGAAGTGCATATAGATGACATCGACTCTTGCTCCACCTTCAACTACTCCAAGCCAGCTATTGCTTGTAATTACTTGGATAGTGTTACATGAATATTTTTTATGGAATCCATGTTGCCCCAAGGCTACTAAGCTGCGATTTTCCAGATACTGCAGGGGAGCATTCGCGATGATTGATTGCATAACTATGGAAAGCAAAAGAAGCAGCGTTATCGGACGGTACTTGGTAACGTCAATGCACACACTTCCTTCATGAATAGGAGTGCTGACCACTTGCTTCCATATTGGAGAAAGTGGGTTCTCTCTTAGGCATCGGTGATATAAAACTGTCCGTGGTTCTACTAGATCACTAGTTACTGCCTGTAGAGCCTTCGGTCGAATGTTGTCAACTCCAGGAGGACTGTATATACGCAAGGATAACAACTTCTTCAGTACAGCTTCCGCAGTGAATGTGATGCTGTGTAAAGCTGACGGTGGAGTAATACAAACAAAGAGAATACGTGGGCTGGTTATCTGCTGGAAAATTTGTGTACTGAAACCGTAGGAGATTGACTGCAGCCACTGCTGACCGCGTACAACCATCAGCCGTGACCAGTGCTGGAATCCCGCGATTCACTTTTCGAAGGCCGAACACGTGCCTATACTGAATTTGGCCGTTCATGTGGATTCGCTTTATTAACGCCTGTTGATGTGTGACCTTGTACACGCGGATCAATTTGACACAGAAGTTACAAGCTGTCACGTGTGCAGTCCAGGCTTCGGCATTGAACAATGATTTGTGGCGGGTAGAAAAGCATTTGCTTGACAAATCCCGCAGGATGATGATGGTAAAACTTCAATTATCAAAAGATAGGTGTTTTCTGCTTGAGCGTCTGTCTAGCAGATACGCTGCTGAATAATAGTAGTGTGAGTGGGAATTGAACGCGAACGACGAGTCAACATGGGGGCAGTCCTTGTGAGCTCGCCTTGCCAAATCACTCAGGGACACACTTTTACGTATTCTGCTCTTCAGAAATGACTTATATTTGTTTTACCTTGGAAGGACTTCTGTTCCGATGCGCACGCTACCAGTGTGCTATACGTCCTTGTGAACGTATCCCAGACAACTCTTGGCGGGCATTCGGTTAATAAAGTCTAGGATGTATCCTTAACTGGCATAGATAACACGTTATGGTGCGTAACAATGTGCACTTCATCATCATCTGCAGGATATTTCGCGTAGCATATATAATCAACTAATACAGTTGCATGGTCACTGCGACCCATTAGTATGTTTGTAACTATCCGGTCGAGCATGATTCTACCTCGGTGTGCAGACGATCGAATATCAATGGCTTGTTAGCGGTTCGAAATCTAGTGAGGGAGGTTAGGTGGTTGTACAGAGAGCAGTGAGATATTAGCTCGTGCAAACAGGCTTTAAACTGTGCACCATCGGTTGCTGTCAGTTCCGTGTCATGCACGCTAAAATCGCTTGTGATGAGAATGTGGCTGCATGACTGTTTTAAAGCAATCTGAAGAACGTTTTTCACTTCGGAGTTCATTTCTGACATAGAGTTTGGCGGGCAGTAAAATATGGTTACAAGATGTGTCCTTGTTGCGTAACCATAGCCTGCCCCAAAGCGAATCAGGGGCGCGGATTTTTCAGTAAGCATAACTTTAAGTCGGAGGTTTGCATTGTGATAAATAATTACACCAATACCCCTTCCAGTTCTATTGTTCCGAAGCAGCGACATGTCAGCTAATTAGATCTCAGAATCCGTTATCTTAAGTTTTAACCAGGTCTCTGTAATCATTTTGAGGACTCGAGGTTGTGAGTTGTGGTATTCTCTAAATTCGACTAACTTACTAAGAAGGACTTGGGCATTAGTGAAAAAAGGATTGTGTTTCGGTAGTTAAGAGCACATTGCTAAATGTCGAATTCATTTTTGGTTTTAACCGGGCCATCAAGCCGTGGACCTCTAATCATTTTTTGTCCGTCGTAGTTTTATTTCAGCTGGGTTGTATGTCATCATAGAGTGTTCCAGCTTAGGATGTTCCCTGGTGCTTTGCTGTACTGTGCCGTGGATACTGCTGCATCGGTCTCTGCGCTGGACGGTTTAGAGCCAAAAGCAAGCCAAACGAATTGCCAATGGAGCCTGAGAACATCAAGTTAAAGGTGCCCATCAACAACCGCAGTGCCTTAGTCTGGGCCCAAACATAAGTCACTAACAGGGACAGATCAAACCGAGCAGTAGTGCTTTAATAACAAACAGGTCGTTGAGTTTACCTACACCAAACGTGCTTTCCGTTCCATCTCTGCCTTCCATAAAACGTAAATCCGAATTCAATTATTTCGCTTCTGTTCTGTCCATATCTTGTGGGTCATCATGCCATGCTCCCCACAAAATGCTTGTGCGTGCATTTTAGTTGCAAATGTTAGAAACTAGTGGTCATTTCGCTAAGATTGGCGAATATATCTTTCAGCGGAGAAGGAAACAGCATTTGAGCGCCGGTGTGTTATCCAGGAGCATCTCGTACTACACTCACGAGTTCACCACCTTATCCTGCTCCGTAGGCCATGTTCGACATTCACGACAACACTGATCAGCTGTAAGTCAACAGTTGCTTGCTTCTTTACCAGTGAAGTAGCATTGTTTTTTCGCTTTATTTACACTATCTAATGCTTAAACGTAGCGCCATATTCAAATGTTCTTTCGCCGACCGTTATGCAAAGGATCTGTGTTCACACAGGTCTCCAGATTGCGCAACGACGTATTTCATCGTCTACGGACTAACGTATTAGCATTAGAATTGTTTTTATGAAAAGTTAAAACTTAAGCTTCAATTTTCTGTATTGCAGTTTCTTCTATTCACGGTCATTGCCGCGTGCATGTCGACCAAATGAAGTTAGTTTCGCGAGATGTGATTGCCTGCTTGAATAAATGTTCTCAGTGGATGGAAACCCAGGTTATTGACACGATCCAACACTTCCATTACTGATTTATTTACTGGGTTTCAGTACAGAGTGGAACACGCGTTATTGGTCTTTCGGGTTCAGGTGGCGCTCAATACCCCCCAGGACGACGGTGCAATGCCATTATTAAAAGGCCTTCATAAAGATGAAAAAAGAAACATCATTTGTATTTTTAGATTGCAAAATTTTGATTCTCGTGAACTTCTGTAAATTTTATGCCTTCTGATCTTTCTATTGATTCAGGTATCTGGGTAAGTGAAGGGCACTCTATCTTTTCTCAGTCAATTACGTCCACAGCCCTCCCAAATTACTTAAGTAAATCATGTTAATCCATAGATTTCTCAAGATAGCCCTTAATGCAACCAAATTGCATTCAATGGGTGCGAATCCCCTAAGTCTTACTGTTCATTGATTGGTCAATCCCAAATCAGTCAATGGCATCTCACTTTGCGTACACACCTTTTATACTACCGGCTGATTCGTGATTTATCATTCAACAAACCATACGGCTTTGTAAAAAGCGTTTGCGTCCGTTGAATGCAACTTGTTTGCGTTAAGGACCGTCTTCCACGACCTGCGTACGAATATAATTGCTTTAAGGAAGAAGTTGAAACCGCTATGGATGCAGTTGGCTTAGAAGAATATAGCACTGTTATTATCTCAGACAGAGGGTATATTTTGACAATGCGGGTCCAGAAGTCTGTGCTTTACTGTAATTTTTGGGAAACGTGCCTATTGCTTCGCATACAATATGAGGTGGAGTGGCGACCTAGGCACACAAATTTTGATTAACGATAAAGTTTTAATAATTTGTGCTTAGGCTTTGCTGCGATCTAAATGGAGTATCCATGCAGTTTGTTTCTTTTCACAAGTATTTGTGAAGGGACGCTCATTACACATTCCAAAGAGTAGTCTGGGTACCATTTGTATACATGCAACAGCCTAACCGAAGTTATCCATCAAGAACTGAGCACTTCATCAATTCCTGGCTCAACGATCCACTCAAAATGGCACACTCACGGGATTCTCCTATCGTTCCAGTCCCTTCTGAACTTGAAGCTGAACTGTTGCTTGTCCATATCCGTACATACATTCTCACAAGGAAACATTTTTTCATGTTGTTGAGGGTCGCTTGGTTTGACTTATAGGACTGGTACATCCTACAGCTCTGTATATATCTTCACAATGATAGAATTACTGGTGGGGATATTGCCACTACAGTCTGATCTCCATGTGTACACTTCGTAGCCGGTGTCTTCTTTTGTCAAAATTTCATTGAAAAACAACTGTGAAGGCAGTCAATAACCTACGCAGTGTATTCCACAGAACTCAAAAGTAACTTTGTGGCCGCTGAATAGCGTTGCTTCTCAGTGAGCACTTTTGCGTAACGATAAAGAACCGCATCGGTGGATTCCAACTTTTAAGCTTGGATTCTTGATTCCAGCTATTTGTAATTGGCTACCCAAAGTATCAACGACTCGGCTGTGGTGTGCAATTTACGCAGTACCACAAAGGCCTCACAGCGTCAGTGAGCTAACTGGGCAAGATTTAGTTCGACGTAATCGGTTGTCAGACTGATATTGAATGTTGCCACTCAAAAATACAGTGAGTATTAGGAAGTTCCAAAGGGAACATCGGGTTCAGTGATAGCTACGTGTGCTTGCTGGAAGACGCGCAAACTCCCAGTTGCTAAGCCGCCACTATCTGCCTTAGACTCTTTCAGATGACTTGCTACTTACCTTCTAGAATCTTCGCCGATGAAAAGTTGCTAAACCGGATAATAGATTCCCCATTTTGCCTCTGCTTTATTCTCTTCAGGGAGCGGATATGAACCCCACGGATAGCAAGGGACTAACACCGCTTTTGCTCGCATGTCAAAAAGGGTCCATCAAAGCGACAAAACATCTCCTAGAGATTGGAGCGGATATTTACAAATGCGACGAGAATGGTAGAAATTTGAGTATACTCCTTCTGCTTGGCGGCACCGGTGATGCCCGTGAAGTTGTTCCTGTTCTAGTAAAAGTATGTTCCTTCGAAATGTTTTGATTATTTTAAGGAATACACATCGTTACTCGCACTGCCATTGAGTAACCATCCTGTTACTGAGCTTGTACTTTAAAACTTATCCATGTTATAATATCTCTCTCCTGGCGCTGTTCTTTTTACAGATGGGAACTCTGCCTGTCCTGTTCACACAACCAGATCGATACGGCTGTACCTACATGCATGTTGCCGCACGGCTTGGTCAAAGAGTAGCCATCAAAATAGGTCTGGCAAATGGTGGAAAATTGCTGCAGAGGGATAGCGAAGGCAGTACGGCTCTGCACTCTGCAGCTCGCTTCGGCCGACTGGATATTTGTCGTCAGATGCTGGAAACCACTGAGGGCAAACGAGCTCTTTTTCTTCGAGACTACTCTGGTCGATCACCCCTTCATGTGGCAGCGCAATACGGAAATAACCGGGTCGTGGAATATCTGCTGGCCAAGGGTGGCTTTTATCACAGGTAGAATGAAGTACCAACGATAACGGAGTTTTTGGTGTTTCCATCTTGTATCGTTTTACTTCAGGGCACAAAGATGAAGCATCTCCCATTTTCTTCCGCTGTCAAAGACAGCCAGGTTTAGGCGTGTGAATTTCAGTCGGCGTGTTGTGACTTAGAGATTTGGAAATAGCACACTTTTGATTACGTACTATTGATTCCGTAAGTGCCTAGAGAACTCCAGACCTATCAAACGACCCCGCTTATTTGTATCCACAAACAAATGTGATGGATCCGGTGGTGATTCCAGGTCGACCGCCACAAAAGAGCATGATATACTGTAATCGGCCGCGTTGTTTGGCTCATCGAGATGATGGTCGTTGGTGAGTATAAACCAGTGATATCTGTCAAAAAAATGCTTATCACTTGGAAGTAGTGTGTACAATATTTGCCACAGTTCATTGCCACTACCGACAATAGTGCGTTAACAGCGTGATCTTGGCTAAGCCAAGTCACACATCGTAGATGGCTTAGCTTCCGATTATAACCGAAATCCGGCATACCTAACAAGCAAAACCTAGTACCGATGACCAGCTGGATGCAACAAATGATAATTACAACAAAACAATCAGCTTGAAAGCCGAATGACGGTACTACTTTCCGCTTTAGTTGATGGGTTGCGTGGTATCTGATTGTTCGGGACGAATGTGTCATCAGCAGTCTAGAAATGAACTTTTTCTTTCGACTACCGCTTCTCCAATACACTTTGCGGAGCATGTTAATCACATGGGAGATCAGGAAATATCTTCGAACATAAACCCACTTGTAACAAACCCTGACAAAGCTATACATCTGCCACTATCAGACAGACAGAGCTGAGGACTTGACAGAGTAATATTTTTCCACCAACCGGTGAGATCGATAAATGGGCTTTCTGTACTCATTGCTGTTGTCCATTATTTAAGTGGGTCATGAATGTCATGCCAAGATAATTACTGCCCTGGTATTCGCTTCTCTGTGCAACAATCTTTCTCGTGACCGAATAACCTGATACTATATCGCATCCTGATCAGCGCAGAAACGCTGATCTCCCATAGATTTTATTGCACTAACTCGCCACTACCTAACCATAAACCGAAGTCAAAGGTTCACAAAGAGGACCCTCATCCATGTACTGAATGCGATTTGGGGCATATGTACATGTATTTGAGTAGTATAACACAGCCAATCTCAACGGGAGCCACATGTCCCCCCTAGGGCCCTGGGATAAGAAAATATCTTAGGGGGCCATGGTGTGAAAATCGAGCTGTGAGAACACTAATAACAACATTCATTTTAAAAACTTTTCTGGTAGTTTCTCTCCGTGCGCTAATCTCCCCTGGTCTGTCACGTGTTCAGTAGAGGAGGTTCGATGTAAAGACGAGGGTTCCGTATTGTAAGCGAATAGAAAGCGAAGCTCAACGACCGAATTGTAAACACATTTACGAGGACGATGCTCCGATGAACCGAATATCAGAATGAACGAACGGAGTAGAAATACATGTATTCGGCGACAAGACAGGAGCAAAAGTGTTAACCGGTGCAAGCGTACATAAACAAATAGCTTGGTTAACGATAGACGCAGTGATGGTCTTACTATCTGGTTTGTTGTGAATACGTTATACACGAAAACAGCAAAATACTAAAACAAACATTAAAAGTAGCGGATATTTTAAACGAACCAGTGCAGTTTCACTTGCGTTCCAGGTCAGTGAAATGGATTACTTGCGCGAAACTGGCTGTTTACGCAAGTGTGAAAGATAGCTCCGCCGAACTTGCGCAGATTTCACCGTGCTCACCTCAAACACACAATCACCATATGGTGACTTCGACTGCGCCACTAACAACCGATTCGTCCTTAGGACTTTGATGCTCATTCACTCAAGACACTGAAGCAACTACAGTGTAGAGAATCTAGCCAACTCTCGTCAGAACACTGCGGCCGTTACCGCACAAGGACACTAACTGAGTTTTCCTCAGCACACTAACACTGACAACTCATGTGCCGGTCAGTCTTTCTCGTTTGGGTCTTAGTGCGTTAGCGCCAGGTTACGCTTCTTTTGACCCCAGTCTCAGCTCACATGCACGTCTGGTGGCTAGGTCACGTTGGCTGACAACGTTCCGAATTCGAGTGCCTACTCTGCGCGCGTGGGGTACTATCTCTGAAGAATCTTCTTTCCTTCCTGGTAAGTCGTAACAGGTAGGACGCTCTATGAGGTCTTCTTAACATTCAGTCCAGCTGAAGTTTCCAAATTAGCGAGCACTTTCGTCAACTTGCATCATAAGTGTGGACATCCGACACGTAGCCTAAAGGTAATAAGCCTGTCATGCAATCTGACGGCGCGCGTTCGTGCCTGCGTGAGGGTAAGGGCGATCCTCGCAGTGGTCTTGGTCCACTTGAGACCGGTGATGGTTACGCGGCATCGAGGTAGCGGATACTGTGCACCGGCGGACTGGTGATGCCTTGCTTTTATAACTCAATGTGTACATAATGAGAGTTCTTCTAAAACTCGTAATAATCAAATGGAGTGCTAGTACGCCTTGGGAGCCATGTTTGACAATAATTGATGAACGTTACTGGTTTCGTTGTTGACCTGCCCATGACGGTTTCTTGAACTATGGGAAGATCTTTAGTGTTTATCTTTTCTGTCCTCCATTTTGCCTGTTGTTACTGTTTGCTACAACTTCACTGTAATGCATGTGTCCAGTGAACATTGTCATTATCTGAGTTCCATTTGTTTTCTTCATTGCCTTTATTAAATAATTTTATTCAGTCATCCTAGTTTCCCACGTACTTTCAAATCCATCGAGGGAAAATTTAGCAAGTAGGCTGTAGCGGGAACCCGGAGAGCGAGTCTAAAAGGCAGATCGGCTTGCACGGAAACTTTTATTGGTATAGTAAAAGATTCCCTGTTATCTAGCTATAAATGTACGACACCGTTGATGCTCCAGCTAAGGGAACGGAGTATGCAAAGCAGACATGGCAGTTGCACGTTGCAACCGTAACAAGCGCCAAGTAAAGATGGTGATGGACTAGTCAAGCATTTGAACTCAGCGATCAGTTCAACAAGCCACACCGGTCGCCTAGGTGTACAATGAAATGATTTTAGAATTGTACACAAGCGAACCGGGGAATCTTCAGACTGCCACATAGCCCGCCCCCAGAACGACCTGTGTAAGCATTCCTTCGATCTACTTGAGGACTGTCCGTCGCGGGCCGTCCTTCTGCGAGACCATGTTGTGCAACCTGATGCAGCTACTGAGGGGGGGGGGGGGAACCATGCAATCGAACCTACCCGTGTCCTCCCTACGGTGTGGAAACGGTAAAATACTGGTTTTGGCGGACAGTTCGTAAAGTTCACCTAAGTGGTTGAGCAGGAAGTTCGTTCCACTTCCAGTTGACATGCGGGGATCCAGCGAAAAGTGAGACCAAGGTGCAACCAACTGACGGTGTATATGGAAAGCAAAGTGAAAAAACCCAGTGTAAATGCATGACAACATACAAATGAGTGCAAAGCAGACAAAAGTGCAAAGATTTTTTGGGCTTTAGAAAATGTTTGCTCTTTTTTGGTAGTTTAAAAACTTTCTGGTGATTTTTTGTGAATTTTGGAAAACGTTTGCGAGCAGAACATGCAAGGAGTGCTCTATGGGAAGTAGCAAAAACGCTAACGAAATCAGAAAAGCTTATTGGGAGTTTCACTTCCCTACCATTTCGATTGATAGTTGTTGGTGAATGGGTGACCTCGGTTGAGGCTGTCGGTTCCGCTGGAGCGTAGCCACCGGTCTGGGGTTGCGGCGCTGGCCGTGATGTTGCTTGTTGCACCGAAGAGTCAGACTTGTCGAGGAATGCTGGCTTGAGTCGATCGACGTTGATCGTTTCAGTCTTACCGTTTTAGTCAGTGGTAAATGTCTTGTCGCTTCTGCATACGACACGGTACGGGCTAGAATAAGGAGGTTGAAGTGGCCGGCATACGCTGTCATTGTGAACAAACACGTGCGTGCAAGTAGTTAAGCGTTTGCCTACGTTTGTACGCAAGCTCTGTGCTCTGGGTTGCACAGGCTGAAGCTGTCGCATTTGGTGCGATAGGCGAGCTGCGCAGTCGCCATAGGCAAAAGCTGCTGACGCTTTTGGTGAGACAATTCACCAGGTAAGCGTTGTGTGCATCCAAAGACTAGCGAAGAAGGAGTGGCGTGCAAATCCGCTATATCGTGTTTCTTATGCCTAAGGGAACGAGCCGAAGTGTCTCGTGCCAGGATGTGCTAGATTGGGCACAGATTGATGCTTTGAGTTGCCGGTGGAACCTTTCTATCATCCCATTACCTGCGCTGTGGTATGCGGTGGTTCGGATGTGTTGGCAACCAAGAACGTTAGGAAGCTTGCTGAAGAATCCGTCAAAGTGTGATCCTCTGTCGGTGATGACTACGCTTGGGCAACTGAATTGAGCTACCCAGCGTTCTAAGAAGGCTTGTGCAGCTGTCTCAGATGAGCAGTTGGCCATCGGAATCGCTTTTGGCCAACGAGTGAATCGATCGACACAGGTGAGAGGTACACGTAACCTTTGCATGGGAGGCGAAGGTCCGACCAGGTCGACATGCACGTGTGCAAAACGAGAGTAAGGAGAAGGAAAGACATCAAGTGGGCTTTTGATGTGTCTGTATACCTTGGCGCGTGGACACTCTGGGCATGCGCGGGCCCAAAGGCGGAGATCGCGGTTGACGTTGGGCCATACTAGGCCTTCGGTTACGAGATTCTGCGAGGCACGTATGCCAGGATGAGACAGATTGTGTAAAGCGTTGAAAACAAGTCGACGCATCGAAGTAGGAACTACGGGTCGGGGAGAAGTTTGTGAGGCGTCACAAGGAATGGTCCTCTCAGATAAAGCTAGTGGAACTGCGCGTAGTTTTAAAGTGGTGTTGCGTCATAGCTTGTCTATGTCGGAATCAGCTTGTTGGGCAGCAGCCATGGCGGCTAGATCAATGTTGGT